ACCTTCGCTATCTCTCCCTTTCCTAATTCCAGTGAAAGTAAGACTAAAACTTTAGAATCTACAATAAAATGTTGCAGACTATCCCTTTCTCTTAGTGGGAGTGCTTTTGTTTCCACTTCTAGCTAACCAGTAATGCCCAGTTACAGAAGGTGCAAGTTACAAGAAGTTGGGACAGGGAGTCCCGACATCATCCTCTTTACCATTTTTCTTTTGCGGGGTGGCACTCATTGGCTGAAATTATGTTGCTTAATGTAATGAGCTGTGTAATGAATCAGCTCCTCTGTAAGTTATATTGATTTAAATGGACTTCCTCTAGTTGTGACTTACCTTTAGCATAGCAAGTCACATTTAGAGTAGGCCAATTTGAATCAGTGGCATTAATGGTGAAGTTGACGCACCAAATCCCTACTGGTTAATGGCCCTATTCTAGTGCAACTTGCCCTAAACTCCAGTATTTCAGTCAATATATTAACATGATTTGGATAATATGTGCTGATGTTTGTTTCCCAGAAGTCCTGTTTTAACTCAGTTTTCCTAACTTGCTATTCCAGGGTAGGTTTACTTTTAATTCTTACTCCCCAGATTTTAGTATTGAGTTTCTTTGCCACTGTAATCTTTGATCTTTTGTGAGACAAAATCTGCACTAATATGCATGCTGTAGGACTGGACTATTAGAGCTTCATATAATCTTATTAAAAGTGCATCGTACTGAGCTGTATTCAGACACACTGAAATAGTCATGGACACCACAATATTTTTTGCCTCTCAGAAAACAATTTAAGGGCTGGTGGTTTCTTCCCACACTGTCTGATAACAAATATTTAATTCCTACAGTTCCTTTCATTCTGTTCATGAATCAGAAGCAAGGAGAGACTTGAGGGGGGTAAGGTGAGACAGCCTTCTTTGCCATTGCTGTTCTTTTTTTTTACATTACATTAGGAACAATTTACTCTTGCCATATGAAGAGCAGTGAAAAATGTGGCTATAAGACAGTTGATCCACACTACACCTATCTAGCTGCTATTGCAATCAAGGTTCTTTGAGATGGCTGTTACTAAGAAGCACACTCATGCTGGCTTCTGCACTTTATTTATGAAAGCTTCACCCTTGTCTAGTCAGTTTTAATTTTGGAAGAATATTGAACAAAGAAATGCACAAAAGATGCAAGCTATTCCCACTGGGCGTGCTTCCTCAATGTCTTGTATCTTCTCTAACTAATTTATTAAGAATTGTTCTAGATGAATATGTAAAGAATAGGAATAACACATGTTTAAACACCTTAGGGATGTGGTGGCACTGTGGGTTAAACTGCAGAGCCTCTGGGCTGCAAGGTGGAAAGATCAGTGGCTCAAATCTATGCGATGGAGTGAACTGCCATCACTTGTCCCAGGTCCTACCAACCTAGCAGTTCAATAGCATGTAAAAATGCGAGTAGATAAATAGGTACCGCCACAGTGGGAAGGTAACAGCATTCTGTGTCTTGTTGCGCTGGCCACGTGACCATGGAAACTGTCTATGGACAAACGCTGGTTTAACGGCTTTGAAACGGGATGTGCAATGCCCCCTAGAGTCGGACATGACTGGACAGTTGTCAAGGGGAACCTTTACCTTTACATTTAAATGCCAACAGATCAATATCACTGCAAGATGGCCTGCAAGGTAAGTAGAACTGGACAGTGTAAGTCTAAAGAAGCTGCCCAAATTCACGTGTAAGTCCAGGTGCTCCAGGAAGGTTTCTTTTCATTCTGTGATTTAATCTATGGTGTCATTTGTTTGACACCAACCTAAGTATGACCAGTATTGGCTCCTTTGTTTTCCCTACCTGTGTGTTAGAAATGCTTTAGAGCCCACCCTGTCAATATGTTTACGGGACCTAATGTGCACGGACCCTTTGTTGTGTGAACTTGGAATTCTTCTGTATCCCAGCTGGAGTTAATAGTGGGGATTTCATTAAAGACCATTCAACACTGGGAAGGCAAGCAGTGCAATAGGGAATCCTTTCTCTTGGTCTCTGCCCACAAATGAGAGACAGGAAGGTCTCCTCTTCCCATTGTCTTCTGGAGATGCAGTTTTGGGGAAGGACTTGCCTGGCAGCCTCTGTGGACCAGATGATGCTGGCAAACTGAAATTTTCTCTCCTTTGGTACAAACTGTACTGAACATAAATACACTGATTCAGTATTAGGCATGTTTCCTATGTTTCTAAGAATCTGGAGATCTAAATTACATTAACGCAGAAACCCTGATCATACCTGGTAATTAAGTCTAAAACCAGATAAATGAGTATCTTAGGGTTAATGGCCTATTCCATGGACCTAGTTAGTGTAACCACTGTGTGAACAACTGTAGTTGCTTTACATTGAATCAACATTGTCCACCCAGCCCAGTATTGTGTACTTTGTTGTTGTTTAGTCGTTTAGTCGTGTCCAACTCTTCGTGACCCCATGGACCAGAGCACGCCAGGCCCTCCTGTCTTCCACTGCCTCCCGGAGTTCGGTCAGATTCATGTTTGTAGCTTCAATGACACTGTCCAACCATCTCATCCTCTGTCGTCCCCTTCTCCTCTTGCCCTCACACTTTCCTAACATCAAGGTCTTTTCCAAGGAGTCTTCTCTTCTTATGAGATGGCCAAAGTATTGGAGCCTCAGCTTCAGGATCTGTCCCTTCAGTGAGCACTCAGGGTTGATTTCCCTTAAAATGCATAGGTTTGTTCTCCTTGCAGTCCAGGTGACTCTCAAGAGCCTCCTCCAGCACCACAATTCAAAAGCATCAATTCTTCTGCGGTCAGCTTTCTTTATGGTCCAGCTCTCACTTCCGTGCATCACTACAGGGAAAACCATAGCTTTGACTATTCGGACTTTTGTTGGCAAGGTGATGTCTCTGCTTTTTAAGATGCTGTCAAGGTTTGTCATCGCTTTCCTCCCAAGAAGCAGGCCTCTTTTAATTTCTGGGCTGCTGTCACCATCTGCAGTGATCATGGAGCCCAAGAAAGTCAAATCTGTCACTGCCTCCATATCTTCCCCTTCTATTTCCCAGGAGGTGATGGGACCAGTGGCCATGATCTTAGTTTTTTGGATGTTGAGCTTCAGACCGTTTTTTACACTCTCCTGTTTCACCCTCATTACAAGGTTCCTTAATTCTTCCTCACTTTCTGCCATCAGAGTGGTATCATCTGCATATCAGAGGTTGTTGATATTTCTTCTGAAAATCTTAATTCCAGTTTGGGATTCTTCCAGTCCAGACTTTTGCATGATATATTCTGCATATAAGTTAAATAAGCAGGGGGACAATATACAGCCTTGTCGTACTCCTTTCCTAATGTTGAACCAATCAGTGTTTCCATATCCAGTTCTAACTGTTGCTTCCTGTGCCACATATAGGTTTCTCAGGAGGTAGATAAGTTGGTGAGGCACTCCCATTTCTTTAAGGACTTGCCACAGTTTGCTGTGGTTCACACAGTTAAAGGCTTTTGCATAGTCAATGAAGCAGAGGTAGATGTTTTTCTGGAACTCTCTTGCTTTCCCCATAATCCAGTGCATATTAGCAATTTGGTCCCTAGTTCCTCTGCCCCTTCGAAATGCAGCTTGGACTTCTGGGAGTTCTCAGTCCACATACTGCTGAAGCCTACCTTGGAGGATTCTGAGCATAACCTTGCTGGTGTGGGAAATGAGTGCAATTGTACAGTAGTTGGAGCATTCTTTGGCACTGCCCTTCTTTGGGATTGGGATTTAGACTGATCTTTTCCGGTCCTCTGGCCACTGTTGAGTTTTCCAAACTTGCTAGCATATTGAATGTAGCACTTTAACAGTGTCATCTTTTAAGATTTTAAAATCTTAGTTCCACTGGAATGCCATCGCCTCCACTGGCCTTGTTGTTAGCCAAGCTTTCTAAGGCCCACTTGACTTCACTCTCCAGGATGTCTGGCTCAAGGTCAGCAACCACACTATGTGGGCTGTCCAGTAGTGATTGACAAATCTCTCCATGGCTTTGGACAGGAGTCTTCCCAGCCCTGTTACCAAAGAACCAGAATAGACATTACACAGCACTTTTAAGTAGAAGCTTATGAGGTTAAATTCATTTATTTATCCTATTGATAGGTTTCTCAGCTCTGCAAGTTGCACATTAGCTTGCGTTTCTTCATTGATTGGTCATCAGGAAATAAACATGAGCTTCATTTGCAAACTGACTGTGCAGACATGACAGCTTTAAAGAATTGTATCTTTGAAGGGAGAATTATTTATTGCTTTCCAACTGCTAAGCTAGTATCATGTCAGGTTTGACCCTGGGAGTCTCTAGTAACCTGGAGATGTTAAAGATAGTCTTGGTATGTTATGATGGTTTGCCACAGATTTTTTGTTCTTTCTTTAAACACAGAGTTCATAATCTACTCCTTTTGATGCCACAACTTTCTTATCCATGAAATCATTCTATAAATTCTCTGTTGTGCAGAAATTATTATCAAGTGGTTTTCTAAGATATAGAATTAAAATATAGTGTGGTAGTTACAATTATTTCCAAAGAGAAATTTTAAAATATTATAATCCACGCGACGGAGTGAGCTCCCGTTGCTTGTCCCAGCTCCCGCCAACCTAGCGGTTCGAAAGCATAGAAATGCAAGTAGATAAATAGGGACCACCTCGGTGGGAAGGTAACAGTATTCTGTGTCTAAGTCGCACTGGCCATGTGACCACGGAAGATTGTCTTCGGACAAACGCTGGCTCTGTGGCTTGGAAACAGGGATGAGCACCTAGAGTCGAACACGACTGGACAAAAATTGTCAAGGAGAACCTTTACCTTTATACCTGATCCTAACAGCATCATTTTACTATGTCAGACCCTAAAGTTTTCAGATGAAACTGGTGAGCAATTATAAAGCTACAAAAAATAAATGGAATTTTCTCTTTTACTTTGTTAATGATATATATATCCTAGATAAGTTTTTTAATTATAAAACATTAAGAAGGTTGAGCTTTTTAGAAGAATACAAGTAAAAGCTAGCACTGAAGTAGATATCTGTTTAATTTACAAACATCAGTAAAGGTACTGATATCAGTCCAAATAAGACAAAGCAATACTGTATTACACATGTACATCTAGCCTTTTGTTTTTTAAAAAAAATTGGAAAAAACCCCACATCCTTTTTTACAGGGTACCCCAAAATTTATTGGAGAAAAACAACAACAAAACTCACTATGAAGAATTATTACCAATTATATATTGTGATTTAGCAGCAACATGTTAACAAAGGGAAACATTAGGGCAAGTAAAGTAGTTTTAGTATTTGGGGAAAGTCACAGTTCTTGGTAATACAGTCTCTCTCTTTTTAATTTTAAAGGTAAGGGATTCCAAGGGAACATTAGTTTGTAAAGGTCTATGTTCTAGTGTAATTTGCTACACATCATTCCTTTTTCTTTTGTAATGTATACTTAGGGAAACAATAACTTCTATACACTTGTTATCTACTGTAAATACATTTTTTGCTCATATATTACAAGGACATGAGAGATGCTGTGATTCTCTGCTACCATGAAAACTACAATCTGTTGTTGCTTTCAGCATCCTTTTCTATCAGTGACATGACATGACAGGTTGCTAAAGTAAAAGAAAATAACAACTGAGACCAAATCCATTTACCCCAGGAGAGCACACTATATTAGTTCTATTGCAAATATCCTGATTTTAAGTTTTTTAAGAAACAACAACAATAGGCAATACAAAAATATCAGGACAAATATAAATTAATATATATTAAAGCATTGAAAAAAACAGTAGAAGGGGTGGCCTAAATGTTAAGTACAATGTACTTTGATACAATAAATATTTCTCAGGAAACTGAATACTGTAGAGAGCTGTTCAGAACTCATAAAAATGAAACTTCATATTATACCTAATTTTCCCAACAATAGTCTATTTTTATCATCCCCATAACATTTATTTTACAAAAAAAATTAATACTGGAAAGGGTAGATAAACAACATTCCATTTCTTTTCCTGATAACATGCTGGCATAAAAGAGATCAAGAGACTGCAGGACTATGGTGCATCCTCTTTTGTTTGGGAGGCAAGAGATCCCATTTTCTCAAGCTGATTATGCCATTCAAAATACAGCTGATATTTGCTAAGTTTGCCCAAATGGATTTTTTTCACCTGACACTAATTCCTTGGAAAAGTTTGATACAGTTTTGGCAAGAGAATAAAACCAGAACCAAAAACTATTGTTAAACCCTTAAAGTAGTTTTAAAACTCTCTCAGTTTTTCATGAATAGATTGGCAGGTTGAACATCACTTGAGAGTGATGTGTTTATCTTCAGCATGTTGTAAAGAAGAGTTGATGTTAAAAATCAGTTTTCCACCATTGTTGAAATGCTACCAGGTCTTTAAAAAAATCCTCTTCAAAGCTCCTCTCAGTTACAAGAAGTCTCAGTTCAAGCAGTTGATTCTTTTTGTTGCAAATTGAAGAAAAGTGTATTTAATCTCATAATAAAAATAAGTCTGTTCTTTATTTTACAATATATTTCAAATATTTCCACTATGAAGAATTAATTAGTCCAAGACAAGGTCAATAAGTATACAACTTAAAAAAACAAAAACAAAAAACAGACAAGTGGGGCAAACAGGTCATGTTTAGGAGGGGCACTTTGTACAGCCACACTTCACCACCTTCTCAACCTCATCCACAAAGGAGGATCCATCAGTGCATTCAAACGAATATTTCCGTCTCTTGCTCCTCAATGGCCCGCAGCACTGCCCACTTGAACACCCTCCTCGGCATTCTAGTCTCGATACCTTCTTGGACGTCTGACATGCGGCATAACCTTGCTGCTTTTGGAAGTAATCTCTGATTCGTTCCCCTCGACAAGAGATTTCTATAAAATGAAAAAAGAACATCCACTGAATGGCACATCACACAGTGTTATGAATCATAAAATGGCATCTTTTAACAGAATGAAAATCTTCTAAATATAGTTTGTGTTTTGTGTTCTTTAACTTAAAAAAGAATGGTTTTGATATGATGGATTAAAACTGTATTGCACAGTCAATCCAGTTCATTTTTAGAGATGATTTATATGTGAACCATAAATACATTATTATTACAATGACAAGAAAACTGGAAATTTAAATCTTTTTGTTTATTATGAAAATACACACAATATATTCTTCACAGTACAGCCAGCTGGTTTCCTTTACGGTTGAGAAGTACTTGAGATGGCATGCAATTTCATTTACTAGACCTAGAGTTAAATATTATTCAATCTGTTATTTAATAGAAGCTACATTCCAATAGCTTCATAAATTACTGAGGCATAGAACCAGTTTAAATAAGAGACATCTGGTTTAAAACACGAGCCCCATATTCCATTTAGTTACAATGATGCAAAGCAGAAAATAAAATTCAGCTCAAGAAATTCAAAGAAAGGAAGAATTGGAGAGAGGGAGGGGAAAGAGAAATGAAAGAGCCTTGATAAATAAGGGAAAACAATGACAGCAGAGAGAAAAAGTCTTCCTCTTTTAATCCATCTCACCTGTATAATTCGCTGTGATAAATCAGTTGAAGATGAGAGGTCAAAAGTAGAGTTTGTGATAAAAGTAGGAGCAGAATCATTGGATTTGGCTTCACAGTTGCAGAAGGTAGAGAATAAATACAGAAAGATACAGCAGATAAAAAGTGGCAGTTTAAATATAGCAAAAAGTTGCTTTTGAATAAAGAAAAAAATCATGTCAAAATGTTTGATGGGGTTTACCCCCCCAGTATTAACATTAATTTCAAGGAGCACTTGAAAAAAATATTTTCTCTTGCTTATAAAACCAGAAAATATTAAAATTAAGGAAAAATATGCAGATAAATTCTGTATGAAATTGGGTTTTTGGCTTGGGAAAGAAAGGGAAAACAAAATGTGAAAAATCTCAAAGAAAAATGTAGTTTGTACATAAAAGAATGGATTTTTCCATCATATGTTTTGAAAATAAAGTCATCACATTTCCCTCTTATATGAAATGACGATAATCTGACTGGATATTTACCTTTATCGCAGCTGTCCCCAGTGTATCCGCTGCTGCATTCGCAATACGGTTTCCCAAGGCTTGAAAGCCTACATTTACCGTGTTTACATCTGATGGACCGGCAGGGGTTAAACAGTTCTTCATCTTCATCACAGAGGACTCCCCCATGTCCCTGCAGGCATTTACAACTGTATGAAAATGCATTGATTGGCAAGCAGGTACCATGCACACATCTACAGAGGGAGACAAGCCCAAGAGAATAAAAATAAATTATTCATCCAAACTACGGCTAAGTGACATTGACCATAAATGCTTTGGACTGCACTCAAAAAGGAAATTGCTTATAGTTTTCTTTTTGTTTCGTTTTTGATTGCCTTCATCTAGGAAGACATGGTGAAGTGGTTTGTTTTAAAATAATTCATATCCAAGGTTAGTACAAGGATAAGGAAGCAAATAGCTCACTATAATACTACCACTGTAGATGTGTTATGGAAGACCTGAACAGTATGTCACAAATACCAAATTCTGCATTCCTCAACTGATCAGGGCATATGCACGACTGAGCATAAGACACAGTGGAAGCAAGGAATGCAAAATCCGGCTACAAACGACTCAGCTTAACAAGAAGTATTTACAAAAACAAGAGGCATGGGAGAAATAGCTTACCTGTAATTTTGAACACGATCTACAAGAAAAAGACTGATAATCACCTAAAATTGCAGGCCACACATATCTTTTAATTGCCAGGGCAAGGAAAATGTCTTGAGTTTTTTTTCTAGCACTCATTAATGACATTTGTACCACCTCTTCATTGAAATAATCTTTTCTACTATTGTTATAACTTACTGTATTTCATAGCATAGATGAAAGCTCTTGTGCTAGAATTTATCTGTTGCAGCACTTAGGCAGAGCACAACAAATAGTTACTTTCTAATACAAAGAACAGATATCTTCTGAAACAAGGTCTTTGAACTTTGACCAAAGAGGAGATGACATATTACAGATCAAGCTTAGGGTCCAGAAGCTTCATTAATAGTCACAGAATTGTCACTTTCATAAGTGAGACCCTTTGGCTCTATACATATAATTTTCATGAAAACTGCAGGCTGGCAGTTCCTATGAAAGAGTCTCAAGCTCAAAATAAATGTCATGTTTTTAATGTTTTTAATTACTTAACGATTTTAATTATGGAAGTTTAATTGTTTTTAATCTGTAATTTATTGTGCTTTTAATATTACTTGTTATTAACATTATGAGCCACCTTGGGTCCCCTCACCAGGAGAAAGGTGCCCTGCAAATGATTCAAAAGTAAATAAATGTTGAACATGCAGTTCTTTAAAATGGCAGATAAAAATTCAGAAGTAGAGTGTGGATTCTAGTATTTACTGGGACTGGACAGGTGGAAAAGGGGAGTTACCTTTTCACATTGGTTTTCCAATGGAAGTTGCTTGCATCTGAGGGAATTTGATGTCATGGACTTTGATGTCATGCACATGATTTTGGCCCCTACATGTCCAGTTTAAATGGACACTTTTTCACTTGTTCAGCTAAGGAGGAAGACAGAATTTTTAGGCTAGTGAGACCTACCATGATTATACTGGATTTTTACCTATCTTGGCTCATAAAAGCATCTGGGGACAGGAACTGACTGAGTGGGTAGGTGTAGCAGTGATTGCCTCTTTATGGCAAGCTGCTATTCCATTTTACCTAAAGGATCTTTCTTGAAACCACACTGCATTGGAACATTTTGGTCAGATTTCCATTAAGGGCAAGGAAAATGATCTTGTGGTGCTCCTCATTTCTCTATGAGTTGGTTTGTATAGATCCATTCCACTCTGGGTTTTGGTCTCGTTTGAGGAGAGAGACAGCTTGGGTCACCCTGATGAGCAACCTATGCCTGGAATTGTACAAGGAGCTCAGTCACATTACATAATTCTTCCCTTTCATCTTATCGTCACAGTAAACTCTGAGGTTAAGTTAGTTATGCTGAACTATTCGCAGGAATGATGGAGTATAAATAAAATTGATGAAGATGGTTGTTGTAATATTGGGGGTTGTGGCAATGGTAAAACTATATGGCAATGGTAAAAATAGATCACATTCTTTGAAAACCTGGATATGATCACTGAAAGTTGGGTGCGACTTGATGGCTCATCATACATTGGATCCCATCTATTATTTACTATGTGAGCTCAGTATCTCACCTCATCTTCTGTTTTCTCTTTATAGGCTTCTTGACAGACCAATGAGAAAAGTAAATATGGAAGTCAGGAGCCAAAGTACCCCAAACAGTCTTTGTGTTAATACTAGGTTTTTGGAATGAGATGCTAATAAAACTTGCTTCTTAACGATGAACTGCAATTATTGTGTTATCAGTCATTACATTTACTTCTAATATGTTTTAAAGAGATTAATAGTTCACAAAATAGTAGTGCAAGGGATTGAAAACATCCTATATCAGAATGCTTGTATGTATATGTGCTATATTAGGAAATGATATTTAGTAAGGACTTACTTATTTCCCAGGCAAGGATCATTGGTTTGTTGATCACACAGTGAGCCGGTCCATCCTCCATCACATTCACACATAAAGCCTGACTGACTGGTTACGTGGCATGTTCCATGAACACACACCTTCTTATGGCAAGGTTCACAGCCTGGGAGGATTCCAACTTGCAGTGGGACATTTCTAAAGTCCTGCAGTTCATTGTTGATGTACAGATTACGGATGCAGCCATGGAAACTTGTGCCATTTTTACCTGGAGACTGGCGCAGTGCAGCAACATTGTTCTTCAGAGGCATTCCTGGAAAAAAAAAACACCTCATCAACTTGTTAGCTGGAATTAATCCATACAGCCAAATGATGACTACTATTGCTTATTTAAAATAACTTAATTCAAAGTAGTGTGATTAGCTATGGAATTTGTCAACATTAGCCTAGTTTTTAAGGATGTCAGATCATTTCCACCCATACATAGCTGATTTTTCTGTCACCACGTTATGAGTTTTCAACTAGATTCTGTAACAGAATGCATACAAAAGCCAGTGTTCATGAAAGGAAAAGATGGGCTGAATCCACCATGTTGTAGTGCTACGTTGATGTTAAAGCAGTTGTGCACACTTCATATTTAGAAAAGTGGCATCAATACATATAATTCCAGACTAGCTTCAACAAATCTACTGCCATTATTTTTTTCAAGATGTTTCAATTGGCATATTAACTAAAACATACAGCGGTGCATTGACTTACGACCATAATCTGTTCCATAAGATGGACGTTAACTCAAAATGGTCGTAAGTCAAAGCACCATTTCACATTGAAATGCATTGGAACGCGATTAATCTGTTCCGGCAAAAAACAAAACAAAAAAAAAACCCTACAAAATAATAATAAAGTACACAGCAAGCCCAGTCAGAAGGCACTGGGGCTGAAAAAAAAACAACCAAAAATAAAGCACACAGCAAGCTCCATTGTTGGGGCTTTAAAAAAAAAAAACCAAAAATAAACAGCAAAGCAAGACCCGAAGGCACTGAGGCTGAAAAAAAAAATCACCAAAAAAAAACACAACACTGCACAGAAACATAACCCCCTAGCCCAAAACCACACTGCAAAACCCACCCAGAACAGTTTTTAAAAAGCAGAAAGCAGCACCTTACCTTACCAGGCAATTCTGAAGAGGAGGACCAGGGTCACGTAGGTCTGTGATGGGGTGAGTGGCAGCTGGCTGCCCCCTTTCCTCGGCCAAGCAATTTGCCCCTGAACCCTGTCCTTCCAGGGAGCAGGGCACGCTTTCACCCAGCCAAGCACCAACGACCACGCACACACACTCTCCTTCTCTTGCACTCTGTGCCCCCTCCACTGCTGCTCTTTTCCAAGGAAGGGGGTTGGCTGCTCCTTTCTTGGCAACCCGGAAGTGCTTCTTTCTTTCCCGCTCACCCGGTTGGTCGGGATACTGAAGAACCAGACAGGCAGCTGCAGCCCTTGCCTGCCTGTCTGCCTGCCTGTCTGCTGCTCCTCACGCGCTCGCGCTCACCTCCGCTTACAGGGAGCCTGCTCGATACACGAGCAGCTTTCCCAGCTCTAGACACAAGGGCAATCTCAATGCGCACTCCTCCTCCTCGTGTTCTCCCTGCCTCCCTCCCTCCCACATTCCCCTGCCTTTCACACACAAAGCTCAGCTCCTTCCCCTCCCTCCTAGAGTTTTTTTAAAAACAGACAGTTTTTTAAAAGCAGAAAGCAGCACCTTAGCAGACAGTCCAAAGCCTCCTCCGAACACACACTCTCTAACCATTGAGGCGAAAGAGCTACAAAGAAGCAGCCTCTTCGCCTACCAGCAGTTAGCAATTCAATTTTCCCACTCCCTCTCCCTGCCTTTTTGTGTTCGTAAGTAGAAGCTCCGGCTGCAAGTTGAACCAAAATTTTGCAATCAGAGCTGGTCATAACTTGAAATGGTTGGAAGTTGGGACGGTCGTAAGTTGAGGCACCACTATCATTGACCTTTTCCCAGGCTCCACATGTTACATATATATCTACACTAGAAAGATGTTCCCTTACCTCCTACATAAAGTGGGGAATCAAAATTCAGAGTTGATTGTTTAGATAAGTTGGTGATAATCTTGGGACTTCCTCCATCAATCGACAAAGACAGAATGTGATCCATAGCCAGTAACTCAACTACATGGAAATTTCCATCATTGATTATTTCAACACTGAAACAAGATAAAATAATATTTAACTTCTTAAATGCTTGAGACATAACAGATATGAAAGTGAGATGTTAGAGATGTTGACCCAGACTTTTCTAGGCATTGCATTTGGAAAATTGGAATTACAGTGGTGCCTCTCTTAGCGATGTTAATCTGTGCAGAAAAAATCACTGCTAAGAGATAACATCGCTAAGCGAAAATAAAAAGCCCACAGAAATGCATTAAAATGTGATTAATGCATTCCTATGGGCTAAAAACTCACCTTTAAGTGAAGATCCTCCATAGCGCCGCCATTTTCGGTGCCTCTAAAGCAAGGTATCCGTGTCTGAAAACAGCGGGCGGCCATTTTGTTTAACCGGTGGCCATTCTGAAACTGCCGATCAGCTGGCTGAAAATGGGGGCTTTGCGATGATCGCTTCCCTGCGATCATCGCAAAGCGAATTTCCCCCATAGGGACCATCGCAAAGCGATCGGTTTTGCGATTGCAAAAAGTCCATCGCAAAGTAATTTCGTTGCTATACGGAGCGATCGCTATGCGAGGCAGCACTGTAATAGACCACTGGTTCTTAACCTTGGGTTACTCAGGAGTTTTGGACTGCAACTCCCAGAGGCCTTCACCACCAGCTGTCCTGACTGGGGTTTCTGGGAGTTGCAGTTCAAAAGCATCCGAGTAACAAAGGTTAAGAACCACTGTAATAGACCAACACATTTTCCTGTTTGAGCATGATCTAGTGAATCCAAAGAACCTCACTTGGTCAACTGTCTGCAGCAGTGCACTAAATGTATGTGAAAGACAAAGAGAAACACATGTAGACTCTAGAAATTTACCGATATCTAGCTGTCCAGCTAAGCTGTCTTTAGCATAATTGCTCAGGTTGTGCATTAAATCACTGGTTCTTAACCTTGGGTTACTCAGGAGTTTTGGACTGCAACTCCCAGAAGCCTTCACCACCAACTGTGCTGGCTGGGGTTTCTGGGAGTTGCAGTTCAAAAATATCCGAGTAACAAAGGTTAAGAACCACTGCATTAAATGACATGTTTCCATTTGGACTTCCAATATGGTGGCTCATTTGAGAGGTGGCCCTGCTTGATTCAGATTGAATCTTGATTCAGAAATCTAAATCTTTTGTGCCAACCAGTGACTATGATTAAAAATGAACCAGTGATTAAAACTTTTTTTCTTATCAGAATGGGATATTTGCAAGCACGCCATGCTTATGAAAGAATTGTGCCTATCAAATACTGACAGATAGGAACAATGTTTCTTGTACTACATTTTTCTCAGTTTTGTTTAACTGCCAATATCTTTTAAATATCTTGCTGGAATCAGATAACATTTGAATGGACAGTTGTTTTGTGTAAGGGCATAAACCCTACTAAGCCTCAGATGGAAAGATAAGACATCTTAGTGAAAAGGCAGGCTTTTTAGTTTGGGAATATTTAGAGAAAGGACATGCTTGTCTCTCTGTGGGGTTGGGCTATTTGTGTGTGTGTGTGTGTGTGTGTGTGTTGACAATTAATACAGCAATCAGATGGCACTAATTAGGAAAATTACAGTCTTTAGAAGGATGTTTTGTATTATTTTGTGTATATGAGGACTTCATTTACAAATTTCCATTTACAACACTGATATTATTCATGTGATTCATACCTACCTAACTATATTTTGATCAATTTGTATAAAAATAACATATGCCATAGTGGTGTCCCTAGGCAATATATATATACCTATATATAGCACCAGATTTCCTTGTTTTCTGTTCAGCATTTTTCAAGTAAGCCCCCAGTGCTATCTCCTTTCAGGCTTCACAGATACCATAAAAATACTTTTGAAAATCCTGATTTGCAGACAGAAGCAGGAAAAAACAATGGACACTTTGTAACTCCTGCACTAATACTAATTCACTGTGATTAGATGGTAGAACTGCCAGTCGCAAAGTGCATTTCCTCTTCCTCAATCTCCTGCCATTTCCTTAAGTGGAAAACTTTAGGAGAAATGTAACAATTTTTATGACACCTTGTTTCAATTTGTTCCTTGAAGTTGAAATGGCTGAGTGTGTTAACTGGACTGAGTGTATCAGTCTGAAGAAGTGGACTTTCCCACAAAAGCTCACATTCAAATACAGCAGTTCACCTTTAAGGTGCCACATTTTTGTCTTCTTTATTTTTTATTTTCATTTTGTTTATGTCTGACATGCTAGACTGACATGGCCACCTCTTCTAAAATTTCCACTTCTAAGTACATGCAGTACTTCCACCACCCTTTCCACTTCTCACTATAGACCTCTTAAGCTGGGCCAGGGATTGTCCTAGTGCAGAACTGCTGGGGCTACAAGTGAGGAAAAGCATCAGAAGCCCCAGTGGTCCTTTGTATCACAGCCTTCATTACAGATGTAAACCAGTATGGTGCAGTGGTTGTGATGTAAGACTAGGAGAGACCTAGGTTCAAATATTTCCTTGAACAGGAAGTTCATTGGGTGAGTCATTAATACTGTTGAGCCTAAGCAATCTTTATAGGATAGTTGTGAGGACAGAATTGAAGGGGATGCAACCACTTTGTGCTCCTTGGAAAAAAGGTGAAATACAGGTAAAATAAATACACAAGGTGACTGAAATAAGTTTGATAATCTAGTTAAAGGAATTTTACATTCTATTTTAAAACCTGCCAGGGAAAAGAAAGAAAAGATGACTGGTATAGATAAAGAAAGGTGGCATGCATAAAAAGAAGAAAAATGGAGAGTTTTGTTGCTCATTGTGTCTGAAATAATAGCTGACAAGAGCAGAGGCGAAGATATAAACCCAAGAGCAATAATCCCTGAATCTTTCCAGTTCCTCAAGTGTAAGGATCTAGTTTCAATCTCTTCTAGATTCATAATGAAGAAGAAAAATACAGTTTAAATATACATATATGTCTTAATTCCCTTTTGTGCTTTAAAGTTTATGATATTTCTTGTGTCTCCAGTATTCTTGTTTTTATTTAATATGATTAATGCATGCATGTGGACAATAGTACATTGGTTGCATAACTTAGGGTACTTTCTAACATACGCATAATAAAGAAGAACCAAGTATTTTAAATGATTTCGTATAGGAATATTGTATATAAAAAGCTGTATTTCACAGGGATAATTTTTCCTTGCAGTTTATACAGATTCAGTAACATCTGTGGCCTCTGATATTATTGTCTAAGAAAATGCAGCATTATCATTCCACTTTGCCATTTGAGAGGAATTATTTGCAAATATGACTGCAAACAAGAGGACAACAACTTCTAAAAATTCCATAATAGTAGATTAAATGCTGTTCCCTAAGTCAAATATGTGTTACGGGGGAAAATGGGTCCAGGTCCTTATCTCCTTCCTGCACTGTCCTCCAGACTTTATAGAGAGGGAATGACTGACACATGTGAACTAAGAATGCTTCCTTGATCAAGTATGGCTCATTTCTCTGTGACTGCAACTCAAGAATAATCCACTCATTCCCTTCAGGAGAGAAGAGGATTGATCTTGCTCATACATTCCAATATCTATCCCTACTTCATGTGGTGCCAGATGCCAGTAAGTCACCTAGCTGCAGGATGGGGCAGGAAATATTCCTGTTCCCATACTACACCACCACACATACCCCAGAATTACAGAGACCAAAGGGTCTCTGATAGGGGTATGCCATTTGTATTTTTTTTTTTTGCAGGGGGAGGAGCTCCAATTTCACAGACCCATACCTATTGACTCCTACACACACCTATATTTCACTCACTTCAACCAGGGCCTAGTTCTGAGGCTACATGGCCTAGTTCCAGCTTTGCTTCCTGTTTATGAACAAAAAAAGGAAGCTGCCATGGTGCTTCCTGGAAATTGTAGTCTTGCTGCACTTAGGGCACTAATAGTTTTCTTAAAAATGTATCAAAGAAAGCAGGCCACAAATCACATAAACTCAGATGTCTATATACAAATGCCAGGAGTATGGGGAACAGGCAAAAAGAACTGGAAATCTTAGTTCTGGAGCAAAAATAAAACTTGATAGGAATAACTACTGAAGGATATAAATTACTGAAATAGAACTGAAAGAATACAAAGGGAAATGGGGTTGCTGAATATGCAGAAAATACATATTCGTACAAAGAAATACAGTGTGGTAAACTTTGTTGTTCCATCAAGAGCATATGGATTAATATAACTGTAGTGAAAAACAAAAAGGAAATTAGTAGCTGGAGTCTACTCTCGACCAGTTATTTAAGGAGAAAGCATGGATGAAACTTCTTGAAAAACAAATTTTGCAAGAATTTGAAAAAGACATGATTGGAGATTTCAATTATCTTAATATCTGTTGGAAGACAAATTATGTCAAATATGGCTCTTCCAGGAAATTCCTAGCTTGTGTTGCTGATCATTTCTTCCTACAAATAGTGGAGGGAGGAACTAGAGGAGTAGCTATCCCTGATTTGATTCTAAGCAATAGAGATGACTTTGTGGAAGTAGTAGTAGTAAGGGAAACAAAGTAAACATATTCTGTGTATTCTCAAAGGCTTTCACACCTGGGAGCTAATGGTTGTTGTAGGTTTTTCGGGTTGTTTGGCCATGTGTATGCATGATTTTTACAAAAGCCATTTTTAGGAAACTTCAAACATGATAAGTAAGTTCCCATGGCAGGAGGTCCTAACAGGAAAAGGAGTCCAAGATCTTTGAAAATGTTTTTAAAAAGAAAATTCTAAGGGCATTACAAACAATTCCAACAAGAAAAAAATACAGCAAAAAAGGCCAAAGTGCTTCACAAAAAGCTCAGAGAGGACCTGAAGACAAAAACAGGCGTATGACACTAAAAGCAACAGAAATACATTTTTCAGGTACGTGCATAGCAAAAGTCTGAGGAAAAATGTGGCTCCACTATTCACTGAAGATGAAAAAATTGTATCAGAGAAGAAAGAAAAGGCAGAAGTGCTCAGTTCATACTTTAGCTCACTCTTTTCCTAAAAGACAGTCTATGATCTTCCAAGTAAATATGAA